TATTCTTTGATTTTTATCTGTATCTTTCTTTTAATGTCTCTTTTGTGCTTCCTATTTTATTCTTTAAAAACAATATATCTCTTTATATACTTGGTTGTTTGTGTCATTAAACGTTTAACTACCATTTATTTTCTAATCGTTTATGATATAAAGCTGAAATATATGTATGTTTCAAAAATTTTAGTTTGCCAGGCTGAATAATATCGACAGATTTTTTTACTAACAGTGGTCACATTTTTGACTCAATTATCATAACACTTTTCTACTTATTAGTTATTTAAACAAAATTGGGGAAAATATTGATAAATATAACCGTTTATCATTATTATATTAACGTATTGATAACACGTATTTCTTGTTAAATACGATAGAATAGTGTTTAAAACAAATGTTTCATATTCAATTCTTTGATCAGAACTTAATAAGTAGACCAGAAGCAGACATAAAAAAGACGGTTAATGACTTGTTTACCATCGATCCTTTTGCAGCGCTTTTGCAATTGACGTAACTAACGTCCTGTCAAGTTTTCGCTTTCATCCTTGCCGTTCCTGTTAGTGATCTTGTATCCGGTGTTTTGGAATTGCTTGCGCCTTTTGAAAACAAGTGTTCTGATGGCAGTATGATTGTCCTTTGTTAATTAAATCATTTTATATATTATGTATCTGAATGATAACAAATTTTCATGTCTTTAACATATGTCATATTTTTACATTTAACGTTATGACCACTGCTGTTTAGAAGTAAATGATTAGGCCATTTACTATCTGAATGACGTCAAATTTGAACATTATGTCACATAATTATAACTAAATGTGTTGATGGAATATATAAAATAACAGAGAAGTTAAATGTTGATGCTGCACATCAAAGACGCCGCCATAGGATGTGAACAGTCAATCAGCATTGAAAAACGTTCTCTATTACAGTTGAATATCCGAAGCACAAATCAATTTTATTTTAGTTCTTGGTATGTGCTCGTTGATTAAAGGGACTCCACTGAGGTTTAAAAGCCTAAAAACATAACATTTGAATTTCTTACATAAATAAGGTGGGACACTTTAAACAGAAATATATGCCAAAATAGTTAAGAAATCGTATTTTTATGCCCTTTTTAGCCCGATTTTAGTGAAAGCGTTTAAACGCTTTTCAATTTGGGTTATTTTTTTACAATTTGAATAATTATTCTTGAAGAACAAAAAGCGATTGATCTGAAATTTTGCAAAAAGATTGGTAGTCTAAACCTTCATCAAATGGTACATTTATCTGGAAAAATAGTTTCAGTCCCATCATGTCAAAAATCCTAAGTGGAGCCCCCTCTAATAATAAAGATGCATATTTTTGTAAAAAAGTAGAACCTAATGCATGGTGTCTGTAATTCTTAAATGTTTGTCTGTTGCGACATAGACTGAAACGTCTGGTCGAATCACTATAAAGTGGATAACAAATAAAATTGAAATGATTGGTATACTTTAAATAAATTCAAGACAGTATGTGCCGAGAATATACCCATTTAAATATTGGTACGAATTGCATAATGTTCGAATGATTTTGAGGACAAAATGTTTTGCAGTGTTTTCCCTTTACATGCCGTAGCGTAACCGGTTTGTTGTACTTTCTTAACGGTTGAGTGAGAACCGCCTCTCTGATAGCGGGCGTGGTTTAGGCTTTGTAATTTGTAATTAAATGATTCGACATGTGATATTGATCAAAATTGTTTTGGTTCCCTTCTACCCCGTCATGGAACACAATATGCTAGCATATGGAGCATTATATCAAATTTAATATGACAATTTAAGGCGGAGCCGAACTTCAACTGAGGCGAAGCAAAATATGAAGTAAGTAAAACTGTCCCAGTTGTCATCTCTCTTGACGGTTAAGTTTAAGAACGATCGGCTATAGGCTTGCTCATTGGCACGCTATTTATTATGGAGATAAAGTTAGATAATGAAAAAAAATGATATTCAAACATGGCACTATCACTTCAGTTAAACGTTTATTCTAATCCCTTAAATATCTGTGACATGTTGTACATCATAAAAACTTTTTTATTAGAAAATTTAAAAACAGTATGATTATGTTAAAACAAAAAAAAGAAAATACACAAAATCAAGAGTTAAATTTTCCCCATTGCTGTATGGACAAATGCATATCTAGTAGTCTAATTAATTATAAAAAAAAATTCGAAGTACAACTTAGCTCCATTTACTATTTTGATAAGTTGCGCCGGGTTCAATATCACAGAAAACACGTGTTCAGCACAAGAATGTAATAAACTTATGCTTAAATTGTAGAGAACATTTAACGATCGCTGTACATATGAAACTATTCATAAGTGAATGAAATATGAATATGCAAGACCCTTAATCCTAATAATAACTTTTTGAACAACTCTGGTATATGATAAGAAAATAAACAAATTGTTCAGTTTTCATAGTGTATTTATCAAATGGTTTCTTTACAATATGCATACGTTTAATTAAAACTGCATGGAGTCGTAAATGTCCTATCGGAACATCAAACAAAATCTTGAAAGCTAAATTTTGCCTGGCAATTGATATATCACTGTATCGCCGATAGTACTTTACCGATATATCAATACAAAAATCCTGATCGATGACACCTCTAGTTTTTATGCCACCGCAGCATTTACGATGCGGTGGCATATAGCGATTCATCTGTGTGTGTGTAAATGTGTTTGTGTGTATGCGTGTTCTATAGATTATATAGTGAACTTAAAAATCTTCTTGTGAAAAACCACTAGTCCAATTTCAACCACACTTGGCAGAATTGATAAATTGGTCCTTGGGTGAAGAGCTTCCAAAGTTGTTCAAAAATTTCATTCAATGCAGAAATCTTCTTGCCATGGTAACCAAAAGGAATTAAAAGATTAACGTTAAACAATCTTCTTTTAAAGACCCTAAAGGCTTAGAGCTTTGATATTTTACATAAGGCATTGTCTGGCAGACCTCTACCAAGATTGTTTAAATTATAGCCCTAGGCTCAAACTCAACCTCGCCCCTGGGGTCATTGATTATCACTATATGTACATATAGTAAAAACATAAAATACCTTCTTGCCTGAATGTACAAAGCTTAGAGGTTTGATATTTAATACGTGATATCATCTATAGGTACTCTACCAAAGTTGTTCAAATTTTGCCTCTAGTGTCAAAATCAGCCCTGCCCCGGGGAGCGTAGGTTGCCCTTATATGTATATAGTAAAAACTTTTAAAAAATTCTTTTCGATATTGACAAATGCTAGAGGTTAGATAATTTGCATGAAACATTGTGTAGTGAAACTCTAGCAAGATTGTTCAAATTATAGCCCTTGGGTCAAAATTGACCCCGCCCCGGGGGTCATTGATTTTAACTTTGTACATACAGTAAAACAAAACAAATCTTATTGTCTGAAGGTACAAGGCTTAGAGCTTAAATATTTGTTATATGATATCATCTAAAAGTACACTACCAAAGTTGTTCAAATTTTGCCTCTAGTGTCAGAATTAGCCCCGCCCCGGGGGTCATAGGTTTTCCTTATATGTATATTGTAAAAAACTGAAACAATCATCTTCTCTAAATTGACAAAGGCTAGAGGTAAGATATTTTGCATAAGGCATTGTGAAGTGAACCTTTAGCAAAATTGTACAAATTATAGCCCTGGGGTCAAAATTGGCCCACCCCCGGGGGTCATTGCTTTTCACCATGTACATATAGTAAAACATTTAAAAATCTTCTTGTCTGAAAGTACAAGGCTTAGAGCTTTGATATTTGGTATATATTATCATCTATGGGTTCTTTACTAAAGTTGTTTTCATTATGTCCGTAGTATTGAAATTGTCCTGCCCCAGAGGCAAGAGTTTTCCCTATATGTATATGTATAAAGTAAAATCTTGAAAAAAACTTCTTCTCTGAATTGACAAAGGCTAGAGGTTACATATTTGGCATGAGACTTTTCGAAGTGAACCTCTATCAAGCTTGTTCAAATAATAGCCCTTGGGTCAAAAATGGCCCCGCCCCGGCGGTCATTGATTTTCACGTTGTACATATATAGTAAAACATTAAAAAAATCATCTTGTCTGAAGGTTCAAGGCATAGAGCTTTGATGTTTGCTATATAATATCATCTATAGGTCCTCTACAAAAGTTGTTCAAAAATTTCCCCTGGTGCCAAAATTGGCCCTGCCCGGGAGCATTGTTTCTCGTTATGTACACATAGTAAAACAGTAACTAAAACATATGTTTTTTTTTAATTGGAGAAAGCTACACTTTAGATATTTGACATGAAATGTTTTTTCGTGGACCTGTATCACGATTGTTTTGAATTAAACCCTTGTGTCAAAATTTTGCCTTGCCAAAAGGGACATTGATGTACTTTCTTGTCCTTTGATGTACAGCAATGAAATTTTGACCATGTGCTCAGTTTTAGTTGTAAAATTGAACTTTGATATCAGGTGACTTAGATTTCGATGGTGTGGCTTACTTTCTTGTCCTTTGATGTACAGCTAGAATTTTGAACTATGTGCACAGATTAAGATGTAAAGTGAACTTTGATATAAGCTGACCTAGATTTTGACATAGTGTCTAACTATGCTGTCCGTTGATGTAGTCATGACATTTAGGATGTGTGAAATATGACCTTCACCACCAAATCCACTAGACTGAACTGCATTGATATATTCCTACTCTGATCTTTTATTTGAATAACAATAGATTCAACCACTAATCTGATGATAAGAATTAGATAGGTCAGGGATCTATGCATTATGACAATCTTCAATTGTTTAGAAACAAAAACAAATGTTCCTACACTACTATTTAGTGTTACATTAATGCGCGATGGCATAGCATTTTGTACAAATGCAAACTTGTTTGTCCCTGTTATTGATTTATTTTAGAGGAACACATATCACATTTACCCAGTATTTGCACATTGAATTGCAATCCAAGACCATAATTACTTTTTATATAAAATCTAGCATAACCTTTTTGTTTGTTTGTTTAGATATTGATAGAGTATCAGGATGGCACATCAACTTCAGTTAGAGAAGAAAAAATACAGACAGTGGGTAAAGGCTGGTTTAGGACTTGGATATTTAAAGGAGGGACTGGCGCCGTTCTGTAATGACATAGCTGACCAACAACATAAGGTTATCTTACAAAACATTCGGTCTACAAAATCACTACCATCAACTGTGACCTGTGGCAGCTGTCAAGTTGAAACTCTCAAACCAGACCATAAGTCAGTAGGGAATGCTGGAAACAAAGTTTGTTCTCTTGGGCAAGTAAAATGCAGCTGCTGCTTTACTAAGGACAAAAGGGCATGTCCGAAAAACATATGTGGCGCCATCTATGACTTTATTGTGCGGCATCATGCATCCTCACCACCTGCACCTTACTGGAAAAACAGCGATGCTCAACAGTGGTCGAAAGACCCTTGGAGCATTTGTAAGTGTTTTATAAATGCTCCAGGGTACGAACAGAGACAATCTGCTGGTGAAACTGATTGTACTGGGTTATTACATCTATTGATTAATAATCAGTATTTTCATAGCCACATTAGATGCAATGTCACAGGAACAAACAACCTTTTTTCAAAGGTAAATCATTAATAAAATATATTTTACTTATATTTTATCAGCTCTTTTGTAATGTTAATGCTGTATATTCCACATCAAAGTAAAAGAGGAAATGAAAATTTAACGTATGAAAGCAAAGAAATAATTCACCACTTTAATGACTCACAACAAATGTATAAACATTCACCAATCGTTTTTTTTTTTTGCAAAATTTGATGTAACTATTCACAAGGCTTGTGGTTAATATTTACTGTAAAGATGTACAATTGTAGATTTGTCTATAGAACTATTTGAATACAGGTCTATTTTCCGCTATCCCATTAATCTAAATATACGCCTCATTTCCAATTCAAATTTTATCCTTTTTTCCCAATCCCTAAAGGAATCCCAATTCCGAAGTCGGTGATTTGAAAGAAGGTACACACTTTTTTTATATTTGGTGTGGACGTTCTTGATGTTTCGGATATCTTTTAAATCCTTATCAGTTTCAGTAATATTTATTTAGCTTTGTATAAAAAGTTTGCACATCTTAAATGCTGGTATATTTTTCCCAAATAATACATTTCACAATTATTTATTTACTAAATTGAATAAGACACAATTTTTCCAAATTTGCAATGAATATATACATGTGAGAAAAAAGGCCTGGTATAATTTATGATTGCGTCTTTGATGAAGGTAAGTACCTAAACAAGTTTCAACAAAATAATTAATTGCTTAACAGTATACATAATTATGCATAGAACAATATTGAACCTGTGTTTCCTTTTCAATAGGTACGCCAGTATAGAAATAATATTTTCCACTCAAGCAGTATGGAATTAGAAGAACGTGAGGCAAATGCTTTTATTGACGATATGATAGCAGTTCTACAAGATGGTAAGGAGCTATTACAACGATCAGATGCCTTATTAGCGGTGAAGAAACTTCAAGATGTAAGTGTAAATAATGAATTATATCACTTTGAAGTCTTTATGGAGTTAACTTAAATTGATTTGAGATAACAAACCACTTAATTCAGGACAAAGTTTAGGTAACAGAGTTTGAAGAGGTAAAGTAAAGTCAAATTAAAAAAATAATCCCCTTTAGTTAAGGTATGAGCCTCCTAATGGGCACTATAAGGAACTATAAAATTGACAACATAGGTCAGGCATATACCTTAAAAGACACAAGAAGGCAAAATTTAAACAAAGTTTACCGTATGGTTTGCGAGTTAGGGAGATTTTTCTAAAGTAAAACTTTGCTATTAGAAGGGCTCTTTTTTAGAAATGAGAAACTCTAATTATTCTATTATATAATCATTATGAAATAACGTTTTCCTATAGAAAATATTTAAGAAACAAATAATAGCATTTAGCTAACAAATGACCCATCAAAATTATTGTTTCTACTCAAAATGTTTGAAATATATAAATAAATGTTACCCTACCCCACCCATTTTAAGTAGTTGTTTGATCATTTTTCTACTTGTAGGGCCTTATTCAAAATATCCCTAAAATTTACTCAAATCAGGGGCTGTTTTCAAAGTTTGCATAATTTTTTTTAAAAGTATATTGGATGCACTTGTCAAATATAAAATACTTTTACCGTCTAGTTTTTATTTTATTAGACTTTGAAAATATCAGGTACCATATTTTATAAAAAAAAAGTTGCCTCTTTTGGGGCTTGAACCCACGCCCCTCAGTTTCAATGCAGTTGACAGTAGTTCTAGCCTATTTGAGTACTCTTCAAAGTGGAGGTTATGCATTAGGTGGCTCATACCTTAATTGATAAAGTCACATTAAAATATTTATGTACCTATAAACTGTTAAATTATAAACAAAAGAGATCTTAGTTTGCAACTAATTAAAATCAAAAACTTTGGAACCCGAACAATTTTCAGGGTCCTGAAATTCTGTTTAATTCATACTTTCTAAATTATGATATTGTGGTAGAGCTTGGATTATATCAATAAATAAATTACCTCCAACATCAAGAAATTGAAAAGGGTGTAAAGGATTATCATACATGCAAAATGTTTGTATCTCCTATCAACTGTGACCATATATCTTGACCCCTATAAGAACATCAAACTTTCAAACATGTCAAACCCTTCATTTAATTGAAGGCTTAAAATAAAGTCTGACCTTATATATAATAAATTATGTTGTTTAGAAAATTAAATAATATAAATCATATAGATACATTTTTTATGAAAGAAAATGTTTCAAAACTGATATTTTTCATCAGCTGAAGGAGAGGGACTTCATTATTACGTCTGAAGGCTTTGAAACAACTCTGAGAGAAATTAAGGGAGAAATGGCAAAAGTTCTGAAATCGACAGAAAATGCTGCTACTAAAGAAGAATATGATGATCTGAAGAAGAAGCTAATACACATTGAAGCCAAGATGTCTGATGAAAAGGAGGGAAAACTGGAAAATGAAAAAGAACTTGGAAAACTAAAATTAACAATAAAAGAATTCGAATTCAAAATGTCTCAAGAAACACTTGAGAAAGCCGAATTGAAAAAGAAACTTGGAGTCTTGGAGACTCTTGTTTCAGAACAGAAAGAGGTAAACCAAATTTCCTTTTGTTTGTTAATTAAATAAATAGATGTTTGTTAAGCGTATACATGTATAAAGGCATCTTTGTATTAAAGACGATCAAGACATGATAGGTAATTGTAAAGAAATAACTTTATGATTTAAATTTTTGTGGTAATATACGTCAGTACTGTAGCTTTTTAAATGGAAACAAAAACAACCAGGTTTATCCCCTGTACAATGGGTACAGAATGTATATAGCCATAATTATCCACTGCAAACAAATATTGTTTGAATTTTTAAAAGAAATCTTCCAAAATCCCCATATGAAAAAAAAAGTTTCTTAAGAATGCTAAAATTTCACAAAAATATGATGAACAATTCATAATTGCTATCAACAATTTGATTTTAAATTGTTTGTTTTTGAAATCGATGTTAAAATCTCCTATAAGTGGCCCAACACTTTGAATTATTTAGCCTAAAATAATTGCTGATTTGAGATGGCGAATTCAGAAATACAGTATGATGGCTAGCTTTTATCTCTCTATGAGTCAGGAGTTTGCCCAACACACTTTTAATTTATTTCAATTGTGACACAAACAAATTTTGACACATACTAACATAAAAATGAGAATGTCAAAAATGAATACCAGTAAAATTTCTCTTCAAAATATCACATCAACCACGGTAAATTTTGCCGTAAGTAACACATTTGAAATTTTTGTTTTACGACTCTTGATGAAATAGCCGTTGATAAACAATCTTATATTGAACAAAAATATTTAATTTTATATAATTACAATCAGCAACAACTAGAATTGTGAACGTTTTGGCAGAAAACAGACAAATATTCATTTGTCATATAATTTTGCGATGTCGTGATTTAAAAAAAAATGTTGCCAAAAGGAAGCTGAGTCTTATTTTAAGTGTGTTACTACACTTAAATAATGTTTATGAATAAAAATTACTTAAGGTATTGTTTATATTTGTGTATATCGAGATATTTGTCATTATGTGTTCAGGTCACCTATTCAATGAATATTTTTTAAGGGAGGGGTGTGTGTGGAAACACCATAACAAAAACAGAATATCTTTTTTCATAAGGTTTTAAAAAATATTCTTCAAATCTCAACAATCACTTCTGTACAGTATAATATTGTCCTATTTTTAACATTGTCTGCATTCAATTGTTGTAGTAGATCTGCATGTATAATTCCTTTATATTTCAGAATAAAGGTGTTATATTTATTTTTATCCCTCGCCGAAAGGCGGCGGGGGATATAGAAATGTCCATCCTTCCGTCCGACATTTTTGTCCGGAGCATATTTCAAAAAGTATATGAGTAATCAACTTGAAACTTCATAGGTGGATAAATCATATTAAGGAGGAGTGCAGTGCACAAGGATGATAACTCTACCATGCATAATCTTTGAGCTATTGTCCTTTGTTATTTTTCATACTTTTTGTCCAGAACTTATTTTAAAAAGAATGTGCGGTATCAACTTGAAACTTCATAGGTGGACATGGTGGATAGATCATATTGAAGAGGCGTGCAACGCAAAAGAATGATAACTCTACCATGCGCAATTTTTGAGTTTTTGTCCTTTGTATTTTTCAAACTTAATTTCTGTCCAGCGCATAACTCAAAAAGCATTTGATATATCAATATGAAACTTTATAGGTAGATAGATCTCACTCATGCAGTGCACAAGAATTATAACTCTACCCTTCATTTTTTTTCCATGCTTACTTTTTGTCCAGAACATTACAACAAAGCCTTTGAGATATCAAAATGAATTTTCATAGGTAGATAGATCTCATTGAGGAAGAGTGCAGCATACACGAATGATTACTCAACATTGCATAATTTCAGTTATTGCCCTTTGTTATTTTTTATGCTTAATTTTTGTCCAGAGCATAACTAAAAAGCCTTTGAGATATCAACATGAAACTTCATAGGTGAATAGGTCTCATTGTGGAGGACTGCAGCACACAAGCATGATAACTCTATTATGAATAATTGAGTCAATAATTGCCCTTTGTTATTTTTCATGCTTATTTTTTGTCCAGAGCATAACTAAAAAGCCTTTGAGATATCAACATGAAACTTCATAGGTAGATAGATCTCATTGAGGAGTAGTGCAGCACACAAGAATGATAACCTACCCTGTATTTTACAGTTATTGCCCTTTGGTTTTTTTCAGGCATTAGTATTTATATAGGTTTCAAATCTATAATCACTTCAGCCATCAGTTTTCATTTCCAAAATACCTCTTCAAATTGAATTATTCTCCTCTACTACATATACAATTCTTCCAATGAGCAAACACATTTGGCGAGGGATGGCCATGTTGACTTGGCTCTTGTTCACAATACGAATTTTATTATTTTTAAAAATTCACTATAAAAAGGCATGGGATGTGTACAAAAAGTGAGAACAAAAATCACTGTAATAAATATTTTTTTTATTTCCTCATTAGAAAAACAATGTTTATAAAAATTATGTACAGTTATTTCAAAAAGTTAAAAGTTTCAAAATGAAATCTTGCCTATCATGAAAATTAAATCTGTCAAAAAGAAATATAATTTCTCTCATTAAAATTTGCCAAATTAGAGAAAATCTTTTACTAAAAATTCTGACCAGAATGATCCCTGCACTTAAGGTTTAATGTGAGCTGGCTGAGCTTCCTCATGGTGAAGGTGACAATTAAAGGTTGATAAATAGCAATGCTTACTCATCTTTTAATGTAAGCAGTTCTTGCTCATAGTGATGGTCACATTAAAGGTTAAATGTTAGCTATGCTTGTTCATAGTGAAGATCACAATTAAAAGTTAAATGTTAGCTTATAATGCTTGTTCATGGTAGAGGTCATACCTAACTGTTAAATGTAAGATATGCTTGTTTATGGTGAAGGTCACACTTAAAGCATACATGTTATAACGTCCGGGATTGTTCCCAGAAATAAGGTGTCTGTTCCAGATTATGTCTCGGTAAAAAGAAATACTTTGTAGGCAGAAATTTTGCACTTTATATAATTTTATTGTCAAGTTTTTTTTTAACTATTCTATAACGCTGGTAACAAACGATTATCCCCAAACAGCATTGCAATAAACAGTAAATGGTGACACTATCCTTTGATTAGTAAATCTATGTGCCCCATACCACAAACACTTATCAGTTATATTTTTTTATCAATTAAAAGATAAATTGTTTACCCTATGTGTCATACACTGTATTTAATAACTGGCCAGCATTAATTTAATCGCCTGTAGGCAGTTATTAGAAGTCAAACACTGTGAAAAATACCGCTAAATAGGAGGTGATGAAATCTACAGGAGTCAGCGAATGTTTCGAGTAAACAACATGGCTAATTGTCCTTGCTTAACATAGCTTAATTTTCTTCTGCGACTTATTCAATTTACGATGCCTTAAAAGATAGAAAAACTGTCAATATTAATTGACATTTTGTCTTGTTTATGATGCCATTAAATTTCAGGTTGTAAATACTAGTAATATAGGTTGTATGCCACTTTGTAAATTTTAGAAACAATACGGTTGCTTATCTAAATGAAAAGTGTCCCGAAAATGAGCCTTAAAATTATGGCAAGTATGCTTTAAGGTTAAATGTAAGATTTGCTTGCTCATAATGAAGATTACACTTAAAGGGTCAATGTTAGCTATACTGGCTCACTGTTAAGGTTAAACGTAAATATTATAATATTTCATGTTTGTTATGGTAAGTTTTGCTTAGTTTACACAATTAAGCACTGAGAAATGTTGAGTTTGTTGTCCATGGTAAGATTTTGTTATAAGACAAGCTATGTTTGTAAAAATGTATGCCCCATATTTGCAGTCAATTAGTCACGTGATCAGATTATTATGCATGACGTCTGACCTAGTGAACAAAAATCAATAAGGGTTATCAACTGGTCATGACTCAGAAGGTAATAATTATTGTGACCGCATACGTTGTGTGCAGCAATTTAAGTTAATACAAATTTTACCAAATAATATATGCATAAATTTTATGAATCATGTAGGCCTCATTAATGACAGCAAAGTTGTAATATAAAATTCAAAGGCCTTCAAATGTGTATACGAAAGGCATTTTTAGTTTAATATAAAAATATCAACTTGTGTTGTTGAGTTAATGGTCAGAAACAATATTTAAGTACAAGGTCAATATGACACTGACCCCTTGACCTCAAAATCAATAGGGATCATCTTCTTGCCAAGACCAATGCACCTACACATTTTACGGGTCAGCAGCTATGGGCTTGTTAAGTTAGTGATCGGAAACCATTTTCAGCTACAATGTTAATATGATCTTGACCTTTGACTTCTTGACCCAAAAATCAATAAGGGTCATCTTATTGTCAAGTCTATTGCACCTACGAAGTTTTGGGGCCAAAAGCTCATGGGTTGTCAAGTTAATGATCGTCAACCGTTTATATCAACAACATAAATATGAACGTTGACCCCTTGACCCAAAAATCAATAGGTGTCTTCTGCTGGTCATGACCAATCATCATACTAAGTTTGAACTTCCTATGCCTAAGCGCTCTTTAGTTATTGATCGGAAAGTTTTTGAACTACAAGGTCAATGTGATCTTGACCTTTGACCCCTTGACCCCAAAAAACAATAGGGGTCATCTGCTGGTCATGACTAATCTTCATACCAAGTTTGAAGTTCCTAGGCCTTAGCGTTCTTTAATGTCGATCGGAAACCGTCCTTAACTACAATGTCAATGTGACCTCGACCTATGATTCCTTGACCTCAAAAATCAATAGGGGTCATTTGCTGGTCATGACCAATCATCATAGCAAGTTTAAAGTTCCTAGGCTTAAACGTTCTTTAGTTATTGGTCGGAAACCATTTTTACCTACAAGGTCAATGTAGGTCAATGTGACCTTGACCTTTGACCCCTTGACCCTAAAATCAATAGGGGTTATCTGCTGGTCATGACCAATCATCAAACCAAGTTTGAAGTTCCTTGGCCTAAGCATTATTTAGTTATTGATCCGAAACTATTTTACCTACAATGTCAATGTTACCTTGACCTTTGAACCCTTGACCCCAAAATCAATAGTGGTCATCTGCTCGTCATGATCGATTATCATACCAAGTTTGAAGTTCCTAGGCCTAAGCATTCTTTAGTAATTGATTCGAAACTGTTTTACTTACAATGTCAATGTTACCTTGACCTTTGAACCCTTGACCCCAAAATCAATAGAGGTCATCTGCTCGTCATGATCTATTATCATACCAAGTTTGAATTTTCTAGGCCTAAGCGTTCTTTAGTTATTGATCGGAAACCTTTTTTACCTACAAGGTCAATGTGATCTTGACCTTTGACCCTTTGACTCCAAATTCAATAGTGGTCATCTGCTTGTCATGTCAAATCATAATAAAAAAATTGAAGTTCCTAGACCTTAGCGTTCTTTAGTTATTGATCGGACACCATTTTTACTTACAAGGTCAATGTGACCTTGACCTTTGACCCCTTGACCCCAAAATCAATAGGGGTCATCTGCTGGTCATGCCCAATCCCTACTAAGTTTGAATTACCTAGGCCTTAGCGTTCTTTAGTTATCACTCGGAAACTATTTGGTCTACGGACCGACGGACCGACAGACAGACAAATGCAAAGCAATATACCCGCTCTTCTTTGAAGTGTGGGCATAATAAGGTATAGAACTATAAACTTTGATAATCATGTTGATAATTTTAGCTTCAAATTTTTACCACTTATAAACTTTTTTTTTTCTTGGAGAATATAAAATGTGACCCGATGACTCCTAAAATGCAGAACAATTGTTTACAAAGAATTTCGGGTGAGTGATTAAATCGGGTTATCATGGTGGTTATTGTGCTAAAATATAAAAAATGAAATAAAAGTATGTACATTATTATGTACATACCTTTGAGTATTAATACATACATCTTAATAACGTCTTGTTGATTAGTTTTGAATTAAAATCTCATTTTTGGAGTTAAGAAGATGATTTGTTTTTGCAGGAGATGGCAAAAATTAAGACAGACACTTCCTCAGGTCAAAGTCAGGCAGAGTATGAGCACACCAAGTTAGGTGAGCGAATATTTGTTTTAATGGGGTACATACCAGTGTATGACAATTTGTTTGTTTCCCGCCTTTTCGAAGAAAAAGGGGAATTTAGAAATAGGCTCTGTCCGTCCGTCTGTCCGTCAGTCCGTCCGTCTGTCACACTTTCGTGTCCGGTCAATTACCTTGTCATTTATCAAAGGAATTTCAAATAATTTTGCACAAATGTTTGTTATAATAAGACAATGTGTCATGCGCAACAACCAGACACCTACCTCCAGGTTAAGGTCAACATTTTCTGTTTGAGGGTATATGTCGTGTCCGGTCCCTCACTTTCTTATCTTTGGAGGGATTTTTTAAATACGTGCCACAATTGTTAACAATACTGAGACAATGTGTCAAGCGCAAACACCGGTTACCTGTCTCAAAGGTCAAGGTTACACTTGGAGGTCAAAGATTAACATAGTCTGCTACAGGGTATATTTTATGTTCGGTCCATAACTTGTTCATAGCTCAAAGGATTATGAAAACACTTGGCACAAATAGTAACTATAATAAGATGATGTGTCATGCGTTACACCTGCATCCCTACCTTCAAGTTCAAGGTGACACTTGAGGGTAAAAAAGGACAAAGTTCACTAACGGAGCATTTTAGCCCTGTAATTTTATGAATTCAAAACCAATAAAAAAATTAAAATTATACATGTTCCTCAAAAAATGACTTATTATCTATATAGAAATGGCAAAATATTACAGTAAAAGGTATTTTCAGTTAAGAAAGTACATGCCATTTACTATGCATATTTGCCAAAATAGCGAATTATCGGTCATTTGCCGCACCTGCATAAAATTAGATATGAAGAGCCACGAGCGACACTTTTTTTTTCACAAAATGATACTATATATATATATATATATATATATATATATATATATATATATAATGTATATAACAAAGCTACGACAGAAATATGGTGGTGTCGGTTTGGCTCTTCATATAAAAATACCGTTAATCTAACATTGGCTGTTGCTATGGTAATTCGGGTCAACTGATAATAATCATATCACCTGGCTTGTACCAATGCATTTGTTTAAGCAACAATATAAATGTTTAGATCAAAATATTTTTTATTTGAATGAATTCAACAAATAGAAATGTGAATAATTATACTGTGTTTGTGTACATTGAATTTTAAGCTACAATAACTGCTTGATATAAAATCACATTTCATGGTTTAACTTTATCCTAAGTGTGCGCTTCCAAAATTTGCGGAAAAAACTTTTAACTGCACCAAAGAAGGACGATCGGTTAACAAGAACAGAACCACTTGTTCAAAGAAAAACTCACTAATTATAAGTCAGGAACATACCTTTATCTGTTTAAAAAAAATTGTGTAAACCTTAGTTATTGTACAGTTAATAGGCATAACCAAGGCTTTAGTTTAATTAAACAAGTGCTTTAAATTATGATTTGTTAACTGACAATATTTTGTGCAAGCAATTTCAAGTCTATCAAAAAGTAATAAAGCGGCTAAATGTATGTTGTTTACTTTATTTCTATTTAATGATCATGTAAGTTAATGTATTCTTATACTTTATAAATGGTATTTATTTTTGATATAGCTGTAGAGACTAATAGGAAAAAAGTTAATGTTATAAAGGACAAATAAGTAAAAGGTTAATTCTAAAAAAGGAGTCTGACCGATAATAGCTATTTAAAATAATATTTATTCTCATTTGTTTCTAACTAACCTGGTCGTTCGTAGGCCCTACTCGCCCAGTGTTTAGATGGTTAAACAAATGCTATTTATTACTAGTCCTGGACTTGTTCTGTTTGGAAAATCATGACTTTTTTTAGTTTACCCTAACTTGCAATACAGATGCTACGACTTCCAAATTAGAAAATAAGATGACACGCTGGTGTAAATGCCATGTTACGATGATGAAAAAACGATGACATGATCATACCATGGCGTCTTAATTAGTGTGCCATTATGTTTCACCAGTGTGTCATCGCCTACATTAATGGTCGTGCGCAATGATACAGTTTAATAAGCATTAAAAAGTGGTTAAAGCTAGCTCCTCGGGACCATGACTGTATGCTAAATCCAATGTTTCTAACATGTACAAGGACTTAGCATCTTGCGAGAAGAGTTATTTCTTTTTGACTCACTGTCATAATTTTGACATGTAGGAATTTTAACTTATAGGAAACTCTATTTCGGTAACGCGTATTATAACAAATTAAATTATTGTTTACATTTATATATAGCCTTGTTATAAGTTAGTCAGAAGATTTGTGAATAAAAGTAGGGTTTCATGCTATTGCAGACAGAGTTACAATGCAGATAAACTAGTCATGTCTAATATAAAGACTGTCAGAAATGTTTATATAAAGGCCTCCTCATACGATGAAAGTGGGAGATTTAAGACTAAACAGTGATACAAAATTGTTTGTCTTTCAGAACTAATACATGTATGAAAACTTTTAATAATGAGGTTTGATATACATTCATAATCATGTTATATATTGTTCTGATGATATTTATTTTATATTGTAATACCGTATAAAAGTGCAGTATTATGAATATCATTTTACTGGATAATTCATTGGAGTTGACATTAAAATTGTTTATTTATCTATCTTATACTTAATGGAATATTCTGTTTCTGGTTAACAAGGTATCTGGGATACTTTTATTGTCTACTCAAAAATATTGTAACCTCTTTCTTTTGAATTTCTTCAACATATTTTTCTCACTTTTTTATGAAATCATAGAACTGAATTTAGGTGTCCTAAACCAAGAGTGAAATTTTCTGAAAATGCATAATTTGTTAAGGTTCAATACATTATACATGGTGACCATGTAAATTATTACGTATTTACATTAAACTTGTATGCTGTGAAACAAGAGCTAGCGGGGAAATGCTTGACTTTTATACTTATTCTAAAAGCAGACAATTAAATGGTTTAAAAATCTTTAAAAAGAAAAAAAAAAGAAAAAAAAATTGTTGTTCCTTTTTTGCAAAGTTTGATGTATTTGTCTAGTAATGCTTGTTGTTTTGTCAAATATAAATGATTTCCATAAATAAAATGACAAAGTTAAGAAGATTTTAGAAACATTCAATCATATGACTATCACGGTCATATATATAAATTATTCAACATGTCCGTCTGGTCACAAGTGTTGTTTTGTCCACGTTTGATACAAATATGTAGATAAATAACACAATAATGACATCTTAACCATAATTAAATTGTATGACCTTGGCGGTCAAGGTCATTAAAAACTCAAAGTCAAGGCAGTACAGCCATTAAAAAGAACTTGTCCAAATATGAAAAAAAAACACATTTTGATTAATAACCAAGATACAGGCAATTATAGCAATGCATTTTATATATTAGAAGTGAAAGTTCTATTATTTGACCTTCACGGTTAAAGTCATAAATGAGTCAATGTAAATTTAAGTTTGATATCCATGAAGGTCCTGATCAAAAAGATGTTATGTCTAAATATGAAGTTAATCCATTTATAAATAACAAATTTATAGCCAGATACAGAAATAAAATGAGATTATAAATAATTTGACCTCCAATATCATGTATGATTGAAGGTCAAAGTCTTGTCCAGTCCACTTGTTTATAGTAAAAACAAAACAACAAACAAAAAAAGTATTTTATAAAAATGGTTGTCTACCAAGTTTTGTAAATAAAAGCATTGGGGTAAATAATTGGCCTTAATATGGGGGGAGTCATTGATTTTCCTTATAATATTATGAATGTAGTAAAAACTTAATTAAAAAAAAGAGCTAGAGCTTATATACATGTAAGAAACAACTTCTAGTGAATGTCTACCATGTACTGTTTTAGATGCAAATGTGAACTTCGTGATGTAGATTATATATCTGCTTTTGATTATAGTTTATTAAATTATTTGTTCTTTGTCATGGAGTTTTTATTCTCCGGTGAGCGATTTCAGGGACATCATGGCCCTCTTGTTGAAATTCCTGTCTCCATACTGTACACTAACTTCCCTTACAAAATTCACTACTGTAGAATCAAGTTATTCAGAAAAGAAATGTTGTTTAAACAAATTAGGCTTATATTCTCATCCTTAACTCATGTGATCTGTGCTAAAAACCTACTTTCACTTTACTGCTAGGGGTTTTGATGATGTAATTAAATTAAATGTGACATTATTGTTTCAATTTTTCCAATACTTGTTTAGCAGACTAATTATGATTGAGTTTTGGGCTCTTAAAGGGAGACAATAACATAATAGTTCACATGACACTCTTAACATTTGCAATCAGGCAATTTTGTTACAATATTTAGTAACAAGTGTATTTAAAATAGTTATATACATATGTATTATAGGCATGACATAGTGGTTTATCATTAAACATTAATCTAATTATGGCATAATGATTATTTAACACCAAACATATGGTATGTGCATTCATCAATTTTTATGTCCCCGCCATAAAATGGCCAGGACATATAGTGTTACCCTGTTCCGTTATTCCGTCCTTCCATCGTTCCGTCATTCCGCAATTATCAGTTTCCGTTCATTATCTTAGTAACGATTGCACACATTCAACTCAAATTTGACATATGGATGTATCATAAAAAAACACAGGGCAAGTTCATTTTCTTCATGGTCCAATGATTTTTGACAGATTCATGCCCCTTGATAAAACTTTCAGTTTCCGTTCATTATCTCACCAACAGTATTACACATTCAATTCAACTTTGAAATATGGATATATCAAAAGAATCTGAGGTCAAAGTTGAAATGGGTCATGGTTGGATGATTTTTGGCAGAGTTATGGCCCTTTTACTTTGAAAATAATAAGAACATTTTTCAGTTTCCATTCATTATCGCCCCAACGGTATTACACATTCAACTCAAATTTGACATATGGATGTGTCAAAGTAATGCACAGGTCAAGTTTTAATTTGGTAACGGTTCGATAATTTTTGGCAGAGTTACATTGTTAGCCACTTTCACTTTGAAAATAATTAGAAATGTTCGATTTCTGTTCATTGTCTCCCAAACGGTATTACCCATTCAACTCAAATTTGACATATAGATAAATCTTAGGATAAACTTTTCTAGTTTGAATTTGGTCGTGGTTTAATGATTTTGGACAAATTTATCTCTCTTGAATGTTGAAAAAAAAAAATATTCAGTTTCAGCACTTATATTTTTGTTGAAATGTATGTTGTCATTATTTTGGCTACAAATATGCAATATGCAATTTAACACAGTAGTTTCAAAACCTTAAACTTTGTATAAAAATGGTTTATGTTAACATCAAATAGTTTTTAGGGTTTTGAACTTAAAATGAAAACAAAATTAGTTTGTGCAATCATATTTGGAATTAAATGTTATAACTTTTGAAATTTTTGGCTGGTATGTAATAGTTGGCCATCAATGTTTAATTGAGTTTGTTTATGTTATATATAGCTGAGTCACTAATTAGTGGTGCCTTTATGTTATACTATATTATAATTTTAGAATGGCAGAAAGAGATGATAGCATCATACTGTAAGAAATTGCTAAAAGTACCAGCAATGCCTTTACTACCACGAGGTCACATATGTAACTTCAGTGAGATTTATGTTAGGCCTACAATAACAAGAGAAAAAAAAGAGAAAGGGGAGACAAAAGAGATTGAGGTCAAGTCAATGTCAGAAATCTTCATAAAGAATGATGTGCCTTTGAAACATATATATGTTCTTGGAGAAGCAGGGTCTGGTAAGAGTAGTTTCTGTAAATATTTGGTCAACTTTTGGTGTATTGCACACAGTGATGCACAAAATGATGATGATAAGTTTGAAGGAGTCAAAGAAATGAAGAAATTTGATATCATGTTTTATATCTCCTTAAGACATAATCAAGACATAGACAGTGTCCAGGATATGATTAAAAATCAGTATGATATTGACGTTTCAAGCCCAATTCTCAAAAAGCACTCTGCAAAGATTATAATATTGCTTGATGGCTTAGATGAATGGTCTTCTGAAAGAAAGTCCTACAATCAGTTCCAGACAATGGGTCTTCCAAAACAGGATGTTAATAAAGACTACACAATCGTAACAACATCACGGCCATGGAAAGTTCACACCTTAGGAATAAGTGAGACAGAAATTGAACAGTTACTGAATCTGAAAGGGTTTGATTGGATATGTGAAAGGGAAATGGTAGATAGAACAGTCTCACAGTTAAATTCCAGCAGGCATGCTAGTAAAGATGCCTGGGTTTGTAAACAAAAGCTAACAGAAAAGTCCCTGCAAAGTTTAAAAGAGCTACCAATTATGCTTCAACAACTGATTTGTCTGTGGTTTGATGGTAAACTTGATAAAACTTCAAGATGTGCCATCTACACTGGCATGTTAGAACTTTTGTTTACCTGGAATGACATGAAAACTACAGGAACAAGAACTCGACTCATGGAGGTTACTCAGAAAGTAGATCTTCCTAAAACCTTAGCTGATAAAACAGTATTAACATTAAACAGCCATCTCATTTATTATGTGTCACAGTTGGCTTATAAGACACTATTTAATTGTCCGAAGGATAAATCTTTGGCATTTGACATTTCTATGTTTAATGAACTAGAAATATCAGATGAAGTGAGAGAAAATTGCTTGAAACTTGGAATAATTACAGAAGATGAATGTCAAAGTTTATCTGTATCCGAACCACCAAGATCATTTTTTTCTTTTATTCACAAATCAATGCAAGAATTTCTGGCTGCAGTGAATATTGGTATAAATTTCAACGCAAAAATTGGTTCATCAGATAGTACAGGAAATGTTGAATCAGCCAAAGAGTTTATTTATGAGGTTTTTCAGAAATGTTCAAAAGTAAATGACATATTAGAGCAGTCAAACGTCATGATTATGTTATGTGGTCTTGAACCTAGATTAGCAACACATGTTTCAAAAAACATATATGATACTGTGTTTGAAGACTCTCGTGTTCAGGAATACAGGAGAACAATTAGTAAGAACTTTGATATATTAGATAGTTTTATTACTGATATTCAAAAGCTTATGTTTGAGTCCATGAAAGAAGTCAATGCAACATGTAGTGAAGAAAATAATCCTGTATTTTATATTGGAGATTTGGTAATTGATACAAGAGATCAGAATTGTGATATTGTTTGTACAGGTATTGATCAGCATCAAATTGTTCCTGACTCTGTTCGGTCTATTAATGTAAATGACATCAACACAAAAAATTGTAAATTTATAAAATATTTACCAATGTTTCATTATCTTGACAAAATTGCAATTACATATGACCGTATGCCTACACAAAGGTTATCAAGTACACATAATGATATTTCACAGAATAATAAACAGATGATTAATGAGATTAACAATTGTGTTTCTGAGACAATTAAAGTAAATTCTTTAACATTAAAATCTCTGACTCGTCAAAGTGTCTTATACTCTAATACTGACAAGTATTACCCAGTCTATAAAACAGTTGTAAGTAACCTTCCTAGTATGATCAATCTTGTAGCAATAAGAATGAGTTGTACAAGAATGAGTAGTGATAATACTACTATATTTTGTAATTTTCTTGAGAGAACCAATCATCTTAAACAAATACATCTTGCGCATGTTAAATGTGAGTGTAAGAACCAGCATGGTGTAAATTTATCAAAACATCAACATCTTCAGTACCTTTATTTGGTTAATACTGTTAGTGTGATAGATGCTGACACTACAAACCTTGAAATATTTAAATTTTATACATTGAACAAAAGTAATTATGAGACACTATTTGATATTATTAGAAAATCTTACAAATTAAAAGAACTTGAATTGTATGCAGATTCTCACAGTAAATCTCAATTATATCATACCAACATAACAAAGAGACTAGTCACAGTATTACCATTGTTACACAATCTCAGTCAGCTTGAGTTACGGTATTGTAGGTTTACTGACAATATAATACAGTTACCTTTAGAGATGAAGAGTTTAAAGAACATTGTGCTTTATCGTGTGATAATGAGTTTGACAACATGGCAGAAGTTTGTTGATAGTATGCCTAGTATTTCTCATACTGTAGATGTGAGTGTAAGGAACTGTTATATAATAAGAGATGGTGAGGAGTTTAATGTTGATATGTTTACATGGACATTACTAGGAGGACTTGAAGGAGGGAATGGAAATGATGCAAAACAGTATGTAAAAGATCAGGATCAGTCATTTCATGTTAAACGTGATGATCCTTCTCTGTTTGAATTTTCAACAAAAAAGTGAAATTATAAGGATACATGAAGATTAAAACATAAGTCTAAATTATTTCATGTTAAAAAGGATGATGATGTGGGTTTCTTTGTTGTTGTTGTTTTTTTTTTTGGTGTGTATTTTGTTTTATTTCAACCCAAACAGGTTTGAATTTTTTTAACGTAGTGGTAGTCTATATTTTGTATGTTAAAAGACACAGTATTTTTTTTTATTTTCAACAAAAACTAAAAACTGAAGACTCGCTTGATTTAGTCTGTACATGAGCAATAATGAAAAGTGCGAAATCCCTCACGCCCCCTAGCACCGACTTAGGCTGTACTCGATTTTCAACTCTTAAAAGTGCTGGAATCAATGATAACAGAGGACCAGAAAAACATAACAACACTGAAGTAAAGTACGTGACAACTTATAAAACCATGTTTTTACTGTTTTCATTTTCTAATGGTACAGTTTATTTATGTATTTGTTATAAAAATCGGTATTTGGAGATCTATATATCATAATATTTATGTCTCAATAATATCCAACCCTCATGGGGACGTACACGTTGAGATTTTGGATAAAACCACTTGGAATCCTGAACTTTTCTGAACATTTTGGTCTGATGAAGTTAAGATATTGATGAACCTGCTAAACTTTGCCCAACATATCCCAATGAAATCCTTTTATAATATTTCTCATGAACAGACTTCAATTTCTATATATAATTTTGTTTTCATTGCTTCTCCTTTTCAAAATTTTGATATATTGGATTCAAACTGTCTTATTTCCTGCCACCAATCTTTAAGCATTTTACACCATATCACTATCATGGCTTAACAGAGTTGATTTTAAAGGTTTCAAGTGAAAAGAAAAATTCAGAGTATTTTCGGTGACATAATGTGGTTTGGGTCTATATGCAATTGATACAATTGTTTAAAATTGAGGATTTTTTGTTAAAGTGTTTAACATGCACGACATATGGAATGAACTGAGTCATTCTTATTTTTTGATGTGTCCCCCTTCTATATATATAAATGCATGGAAGTTGTAGATGTACCACAACAGATGCAACATGTTAGCAATAATGGTTTTGACTAATGTTATTGAAACAGATTACATGCCTTTGTCTACCATGTTTTTATTATTATAGAAAATAAAATAGAAAAGATGAACCAATGTTAGCAACTGTTTCATTCCAAAGCTATAAACAATGAAATTGCAGTTACATATTTTATAATACAGTTGTCCTTATATAATACGATAAGAATTTTCTTTTAAGCAAGTTTTATCTTAATTTTCATAATAAATAATTGAGTAAACAATTGAAAAAAATATATTAGAACTGTCATTGATAGAAATGATATTGATGTTTCTGCTGACGGCTCTAATATTACTTGAATCATTTAAAAATATCAACAAACTTTGAATACTGAAACATTCCTAGCTATATTTTTTGTTGTCAATTTTTTTTTTAAATGTTGGTTTCCTAAAGTAGATTTTAATATAAAATTTGTATTTTAAAAATAATTTTGCTATTTAATAATACAATAGTGAAATATTTTAATGTAGTTACAATACATCTTGCACCAAATAATTTTCAACTTATCAATAAAAACATTGGCGTAAAAACTCATGTAAGTGTACTAATTGTAGTTTTTGCACCAACAAATTATTAAGCTGCATTTACGTTTTTTGTTTTTATAACACAACAGTCATTTTTATCAAAATTCAGCTTCTTAGGTTCAGAAACTTTGTATTTCTATCCAAATAATGAAAAAAGTGATTTTCTCAAAAAATGTCAGTTACATGACTTTGTGCTTCAAGGTGATATATACCACTTCCTTTGCATATTAAACATATCACTGGTATTTTTATACCAAACTCTTGTCCCATATATCATGTAACTGGTATTATTATATACCATTTTCTTGTCCTATGTATCATAAGAGTGGTATTTACAAATACCATTCAATTTTCCTATATATCATCAAACTTGTACACGTTCATTTGATGTTCAAAAAGTTTCTAATTGGCCATATATTTCAGCCGTCTTTATTTTCTTTTGCATTTTAGCAACTAGTACAGTTATGATGAATAAGTATTAAATATGGATGTGAAATACCCATTTTGTTTACATTGTGCTAATCTAATCATATTTCTTTTCAAACTCATTTTTTGCCCGTAATTAGAATATTAACTATAATTATTACAACATCATAAAACGCAAATTTGCCCATATTACAAAAATCTATTCATTTCCAGGGCGTAACTTTAAATGTAAAAATGGGGAAAATCATCTATATAGTATGTTAGTAAACATAATTATGATAACATGAAAATTATATTATGACTTGTGTACTTGGTATGTTATGTGTATTTTATGCTTACATATGCTATGTCTTATGAACACATGCATCAAACATTGTGTGTTTGTTACTTAAAATATAGATTAAATCTTTCAACCTTTATTTAAATGTACATGATAAACAAATCTATATTGGCCATGCTTAAAAACCTAAGTATATGAAGTTAGGATAAGTTAATGCTACAAAATGTTATGTCAATTGTACAAATATATTTAACATGAATTTTAAAAGCTTGAAATGTACATTTAACAGTATCTAGTAGACATTATTCTGCTATTATAAATAAAAAATTAATGTATGACAGCACTTTTTAATTTTGAAACTTTCACAATTTTATTCATTTTATTTGGAACTTTTCTTGTTTAACTTTAAAAAGGCTGTTTTATAAGAAGAATCGGAAGTTTGGTTGACTAACATTTTGTCTAATAAATAACATGCTTTTTTAGGTTAAAAGTTTAAATTTCATAAGAATGGATACAACACATCTATTGAATTTATCAAATAATGGTAGCATGTATTCCATTATAGAGAAATGTTAGCAACATATAACAATTAAAACTTGTCATAGAACCTTCATTAGAGCATTGTTATTCTGCTGGTTTTGTTATTGTTATGCAATTCTTGATAAAAATATAATAAATTTGGTTGATTGGTTTAGATAGCATAATCATGTGACTTCTCATAATAAAAAATGAACATAATTGATTTGTGCATTATTTGTTTTTCCCTTTTCGTCAAGAACTATATTTTTGGTAGATTCAAACTTGTTGACACCCCACTTTTTATATGCCCGTTTGAAAAACGGGTCGTATTATAGTTTCCCTCCTGGCGGGCGGTCGGGCAGCTGGTCGAGCGGTATGTTAGCGTCTTTTTTTGTCCGGAGCATATCTACTACACCCATGGAGGAATTTTGAGGCCTCTTTGTCAAAGGTCAGGGTCACACTTTGAGGTCATAGGAAAATGCTTGGGATTTCAATTTAACTTGTCACAAATGTTCACTATTGTAAGGCGGAGTGTCGAACACAAAATTTATGTTCCTGCAGCCAAGGTCAAGGTGACACATAGGGGTCAAAGTTAAGATAACTAGAACTGCCACTATCATGGCGTGAATACCCCCGCATACCACTTTGTCAGAATCAACAGTGGCCATTTAGAGCTCAAGGACAACCTCCCTGCCAAATCTGAGGTTACTAAGCCAGTGCATTGCTAAGTTATGTATATTACATGCTTCAAATGTGAAAATGTCAAAATCAATACATTGCGGACAGGACATTCTTTAGCAATTGAGAAGAAAGGCTGCTTTTTTGTCAAGGTCCCTGTGACCTTGACCTTTGACCAAGTGACTTCAAAATCAATAGGGGTCACCTTATAGTCATGATCAACATCCATGCCAAATATGAAGACTGTGGGTCAAAGGAATCTTAAGTTAATGGGTGGACAAACTTTTTGAAGTCAAAGTCCCTATGACCTTGACCTTTGATCCTGTGACCTCAAAATCAAAAGGGGTCTTCTACTAATCATGATCAACATCCATGCCAAATATGAAGACTGTGGGTCAAAGGAATCTAAAGTTATTGGGCAGACAAACTTTTTGATGTCCCTGTGACCTTGACCTTTGACCTGGTGACCTCAAAGTCAATAGGGGTCATCTACTAATCATGACTAACCTCCATGCCAAATATGAAGACTGTGGGTCAAAGGAATCTTAAGTTATTGAGCGGACAAGCTTTTTGAAGTCAAGGCCTCTGTGACCTTGACCTTTGACCTGGTGACCTCAAAGTCAATAGGGGTCATCTACTAATCATGACTAACCTCCATGCCAATTATGAAGACTGTGGGTCAAAGGAATCTTAAGTTATTGGGCGGACAAGCTTTTTGAAGTCAAGGCCCCTGTGACCTTGACCTTTGACCCATTGACCTCAAAATCATTAGGGGTCATCTACTCATCATGACTAACCTCAATGCCATCTATGAAGACTGTGGGTCAAAGGAATCTAAAGTAATTGGGCGGACAAGCTTTTTGAAGTCAAGGCCCCTGTGACCTTGACCTTTGACCCAGTGACCTCAAAATCAATAAGGATCATCTACCATTCATGACCAATCTAACTACCAAATATGAATACTGTGGGTCAAAGGAATCGTAAGTTATTGGGCGGACAAGGAAAAACCGATGGCCGGCCGGACGGGGTGACGGCCGGACGGACAAGCTGATTCAAGTATACCCCCTTACAACTTTGTTGTGCGGGGGTATAAAAATGTGTATTGGGACCATTTAGTCATCATATATTGAGGGATTGAAACACAAATGGTCATTTTCATGACTGCTGGTGTGAAACATGTTATTAAGATTAACATATTCTAGGTCAAAGTCACTAAAGATAATTGCCAAGATCACTAAAGATGAAAAAATATAGAGATTTTGTCCAAAGCATAACTCCTACACATATCAAGAGATTCTAATTAAATTTCTTACAAATGTTCACCACTATGAGAAGCCTTGCCGCGTGCATGAACCAGGCCTCTGTGTCATAAGGTCAAGATCATACTTAAAGGCCATATACAAATGCTGGCCCGGAGCAAAACTTCTGCATGCATAGAAGGATTTCTATTTCATTTGTCACAAATGTTCTCTATTGTGAGGAGGAGTGTCGAACACAAAATTTAGGTCAAGGTCACACATAGGGGTCAACGTTCAGATAAAAAGCACTAGAGATGATTGTGTATCCAGAAATTGCCAAGAGCATATATCCTATATGCATATCTATAATGCCAACGTCTCTGTCAAAAGCTTCTGTGACGGGCATGTATGCTGCCCTTGTTTTGAGCTCACCTTGCACATAGGGCAGGTGAGCTTTAAGGATGGCCAATCATTTGCGTCCACATTTCATTCAGACACATCTTCTATAATACCACTTTGCCAATATTTAAGAAACTTAGCAGGCATACTCTTTGTATGAAGCTCTATCAAGATTGTTCAAAGAATGCCATTCCATGCTAAACTCTTGTTGCTATGGAAACTAAAAGAAAAATGTTAAAAGTTCCTTTACTTCAAAAAGGAAAATGCCAGAGCTTGGATATTTCTCACAAGGCATTAGCTTGTTGGTTTCTACAAAGTATATTCAAATTATGGTCTAGAGTTGAAAATTGGTCTCTGTTTAGGGGATGAAAGGCTTTTTTTATTACAAGGGTTATACGAGGGTTGTTCAAAAAGTAATAGGACTAAGAGTCTTATGTCTCCATATTCCATTAGATTTTAAATATTTTCATATCCACGGCAATAGTTAATTGTTTTCTACAACTTCAGCATAAGTTTATTGAATTGTTGCGCTAAACGCTTGTTCCCTGTGTTATTAAATAACCATGGTAACACGCACCGGCGCAGCGCATCAAAAATATTTTGACGCTAATTTGTACTTTCAGTTTATTCATAATCTGTTGTTTTCCCCCTAATTTTTCACCAACACATTTCATCATATTAAAGTGTCATGTTGTCCAAATTTGACGTCATTCAGACAAGAATTCGCTAAACTATAACGTTTTGAACAGCAGTTAAATGTAGAAAAATGACGTTCGTTGAAAAACTTAAAATGTGTACGATCATTAAATTTTTCCCACAGATAGGCCCTACTCCTTTAGCTACGTATGAAAAGATTAAATTTTCACAGAAGAATAATTATGCAATTAGGACACTCGTTTTTAGCTGGAGAAAGCAGTTCAAAGACGGTGGATATGAGATCACAGACACGAAAGGGCTAGGGAGAAAGCTGAAAATTGACGGACGTTTAGAGACGTTAATTGCAATAGCGCTACAAAAGTATCGGCAGTATACAGTCCGCGAACTGTCCTGCATGTTTGATGTTTGCATCGGGCATACTGTTTCAGTTCTAAGAAAATTATTGAATAGGGGAAATTTGTTTTAAACACTATATTTTATTTTATTATATATATAGATATTTGATAATGATACGCGGTAATTATTGGTATCAATTTTTCTCGATTTCGTTTAGAAATGATAGCCTGTGCTAAGAAGAAGAGAATATTTTTCAATTAATAAGCATTTTTAATTTACTGTACATAATCATATTGTTTTAAGAATGTAAGATGGCATGTGTAAATAAATAATATAAATCACTTTGTCATTTACATTATATGTACATGCCCGTTTAGCTTCCAGAATACTCAAAATCACGAGATCAAACCGAAAGTTGCCGGCCACCGGGCATGTATCGAATAAAGAAATGAAAATGTGATTGCTTTTTTTCGCTACAACTCCACAGATGAGTTCTGGTTATAGTTACATGATTCAAGCACCTAGAACATTGTGGAGAATAATTTCAGAAAGAATGACGCTGTTTACATTTTGAATTTATGTTGCGACGTCTTGAACGTCATTTATTAAACAATTAGCGTGCGCCGGGTCGCGTACCCCTTGTCATTTGTAAGTTGTACGTAATTGTTGTTTTTAAACATTTTGTATTGATTTTTTCACTGTATATAGAGGACAAATTCCGATATTTGATTTTTGTAAACTCGTGTACGTAGATGAAAAAATGTGAACAATAGAGCTGCAGTCCTATTACTTTTTGAACATTTTGGCTAAACAGTCTACCACATGAAATTATGACTTTCCTGAGATCCCTGCTGTTTGTGTTTTTGTTGTTGTTTTTCTTTTGTATTTTTTTATATAAAATTTTACAAGATATAATTTTACAATTTAATCTGTGCATAGAGCCACTTATGTGAACAGAAAGAAGTTTTTGTAGAAATGGGTGTTCTCATATAATAAACCACATACCATGACAATCGATTGTCTGCCGATAGTATAGTCGAGTTAAGCACTTATTATGGTCCTTTTTGTGTCGCCTTGAAAAAGGCGACATATAGGGGTTACTTTTGTCGGCGGTGTCGGCGTCGTTGTTGGCGACGGCGTCGTTGTTGGCGTCCCCTAAAGCTTGTCCGGAGCATAAGTCAGTCATTATAAGTTTGATTGACTTCAAACTTGGTATGCATGCTTCTTATAATGCCCCGAAGTGCAGTGCACAAGAACCGGTATTTATTGAGTTATTGACCTTTGTTAATTTTCATACTTTCTTTTTGTCCGGGCCATTTCCCCTAAAGTATAAAATATATGGACTTGAAACTTTATAGGATGATAGATCTCATTAAGAAAAAGTGCAGTGCACAAGAACTGGTACTCTGCATTTCTTATTTTTTGAGTTATTGCCCTTTGTTAATTTTCATACTTTATTTTTGTCCAGGCCATTTCTCATAAATTATAAAAAAAACTTAAGACTTGAAACTTAATAGGATGATAGATCTTATTGATAAGAAGTGCAGTGCACAGAAACTGCTGCTCTGAATTTCTTATCTTTTGAGTTATTGCCCTTTGTTGATTTTCAAATTGCATTTTTGTCCTGGCCATTTCTCCTAAACTATATTGTTCACAAGGCGACACATCCGACTCGCGGAGTTCTAGTTCCTTTTAAGGTAACATTCCTTGTATGTATTTTTAATCAGTAGTAACGAAATTTTGAGAATAAATACACTTTTATCTCCACAAATAAATAATGATTTACTCTTTGAATTATAACAAAACGGCACAAATACCTGATACTACTTTGTGACAGTCAATTTGTGTATAATACAACTTTATTGCAGTCAATATGAGTACTAGTGAACATGTCAAAATATTGTA